CTTCGTCATCTACAAACTAAGCTGTGTATGCAGCAGTAGTTACATTGGGGAAACTAACTGACATGTCTCGGACTGTGTTCGTGAACATATGGCAGATCTGAAAAACGGGAGGACCAATACCTCGGCCGTGGCTGATCATTGTTTTAATGTGGTGGGCTCACACGAAATTGATTTATCTTAGACGAATGTACTTTGCAAGCCCACTGGCTATCAACAATTATTCATTGATGAAGCCATCCATATATATATAGGCACAGACACAATTTCAACCGAGAAGATGGGTAAAAACTTAGCATTCATTGGAAGGACGTTTTCAACCAGTTAAAGTCATAACTGGCTATGATGTTCCAATCCTACCACATTCCGATGTTAGTTGTGCTTTACTCCAATTTCAAACTTGCGCAGTGGATTCAAATCAACACAGCCACTTTGCGCGCCGACTACTCCTCGGTTTTGGCTCTGCGATTTTCCCTGAACATGCTAATCGCTCATTATCATAAATTTCACCTGGCAGTCCTTTGATTGGTGAAAAACTAACCACCGTCGGGTAGGCTGCCTCCCATTTGCATTAAAATTAGCTGCTGACATTTGGGCTATGCCCATTTCAAATCATTATAAATAGTTTGCCCTTTGAAGCTAACCCCCTTTTGCGATCTAAACGTCGTAGTTTTTGTTTGTTCTATGTTAATTTGAAGCTTTCGTGACTACAGGAATCCATTCTCTTTGTTTGTTGTTATTTTCTTTGAAGCTATCTACGTGACTTCACCAAAAGACCAAAAGAATATGAATTCCTGCAGTCACGAAATCTTTAAGTCAAGATCTACAAATCTCTAGGTAACTTCACCTGTCGACTGCCAAAAATCTTGTTGGAAACCCCCTCATCAACTCTGCCTCGGTAACCCCCTTGATTTATTTATGATTGTCACTAGGTGGGTACGTGAATAGGTATTCAAAGTTTAACCTGCCGAGAACTGGAGATACCAGAATGAGTCTCATCTGCAAGCTTAAACTGGTGCAGGAGTCTGCCAGTCTAAGGAGATGATTGCAGCTGCGGTGTACAATCACAATTGAGACATCTCGCCGTGGTGGTAGCCAGGTTGCTTCTGAAATATAGCTCCATAGTTCAGTGAGCCGCACTTGGAAAAATTTATAAAAATAGTTGGTATAGTTGTAGATATCTCATGATCTCCTGTCATTCCATTTCCGGGAAATTCCCCCAATGCACAAACGTGTTTAAATGTCATCGTGGCATCTGAGATGGAATTTGTCTGTAGACCTTACCTAGTAAATAAAAAAATAGTTATTCAGTGGGCTCACATGACATTGACTTCTCCAAGACAGAGGTTCTCTGCAAGCCATCTGGCTACCATGAGAGATTCGTTCATGAGGCGATCCACATATACACAGAGACAATTTCAACTGAGAAGATGGATTCTGGCTCAGCAATCATTGGAAGGACGTAATAAACCATTTCGGATTTTAACTGATTGTGTTCACGTTGACGGTGACTTTCAGACCACAGTCCACTCACTGGCATTGACTATATATCTTTTGTATTCTTCGCAGGGAATGGATTCTTTGCTCCGCTGCAAATCTCCTTCCACCACTCTCCCATTCACATATTTCGTTGCTTCCTCTTAGTACCTTTCACGCGACGGTCAATGGTATAGTGTATAGCAGATTGTATTATAATAAATAGTATAAAAGTGTAATGTTTAATATAATGTATAAGGTAATATATAGTATCGTAATTGTATAGTGAATATACTGCAGAGTGGTAAACAGTAGGGTGGGTATTATAATACATAGTGTAATATTACAATGTATAGTCTAAGGTATAGGGTGGTGTATAGTAATGCAGTATATAATTTAATGTTGTGTTTGTCTATGGCAGTATATAGTACGGGGTAGACCCGTGTGATGTAAGAGAAAAAAGTTTAGCTGGAGGCATATTATATTTTTTGCGACATAGAATTGTAATGTATGACTTACTGTTAGTAGCTCAGCTTATTGGAGAGTATCTTTAGTATATTGATGATACTGATGTAGTTTAAATTTTAGTTTTTTTACGTGGTGGCTTAGCTGCTGCAGCTCCATACTATTAAGATTCCTTCCCTTTAATAATGCTAACCCTACTCCCTCCCTTTGATGCTGCTAGTCCTGCATAACGCACGGGCATAATATGACTTTAAACCCCCCGCCCACCTCCTACGCATTCCACAAGTAGTGACTAATCCCATATCTGAATTTCCCATAAATATGCTAAATTCCTCTTGATATGCAAATTCGTTTGTCAAGGCGCCCTTCCCCCTCCAACCCAGCTTAAATATATGCTGCCAAGCCTGATAGTGCTCATTCAGACGCTGTCTTTCCGACAGACCTGTTCTTCACCTGAGGACGGCTGCTTGCGTTGTGGCCAAAACGTCGTGAGAATTATTTTATTATGTTTTTTATTTTTTATTTTATTATTTCCCTTCTACGTGACTTTACCGAAAGAACCAAGAAGACGCTGAAAACTATTTAATTGGGATGTGAGTGGTGGGCGAGTTCTCTTTGTTGGAAGTACATTTGCTCCCATCGCGTATTTATGTGCTCCTTAACGGATAATAATTTGATTTGGCACAAGCTGAGCCCACTTGTTTTTGGCCCCGATGCAAGTTAACCAGGCATTGTACGACCACCGTTTTTAAAGCAGTGAGGGTAGTAAAATTATTCAAATATTTAACGTGGTTAATGTCCCTCGAGGTGGAACCTCATGAGCAGGAGAGGATGTCCAGGGTGCCGATTGACGAACGGCAAAAAAAAATGAGCATCATAGTGATTGAAAAAAATGCCTTCAAAACGCAACCCATCAACCTGATTGCAAAAACACCCCCATACAGAAATACAGGTCTTGCCGATTCTGCCACTCGCACAAGCAATGCATAACGCATCCCACCCGCTGTCACCTGAGTGGAAGACTCATCCGGTTCAGTCAGAAAGTCACCAGAGCATTGCACTTTGAAATTATCCAAATTCACAAATTATTTTACGCAGAACTGCTTCTTGTTGTGTTTAGTTTGACTTTTAATACACCTCCAATTTGCACTGTTGGCTACGTACCATGTGAAAGAAGTTCAACACATACATATATACACGTCTCACATTTACATTCATTATGGTAGCTCTTGAAATGTTTCTTTTTTTACTGAATTCGAAATAAATGGTTCTTCTTGTTGTTTTGGTTGCCCGGGTCTCTCGTGGTGGGCAGAGAGTTGGAGTGGGCCAAGCCACCAACGACAAAACTTGGCCACATCTGCCGGCCGGGTCGTAGCTCAGTGGGCTCTCGTCAGGGAAGTAAACATCGGATTCTTCTGATTCTGAAGTGTGTGTGAAAGTAGATGAGTTCGAGGGTGGATGAGTGAGTGGGTATATTAGTGGGTGAGTGTGTGAGTGGGTGTGTAATTGTGGTGGTTAGCGCGCTGCGCTACGAACCCGGAGACCCGAGTTCAATTCCCGCTCACGGCCAACACCAGTGACAATTATCTGAACTGGTCCTGGGCCTCCCCTAGGTCAACTCAGCCTCAAATGAGTATCAGGTGTGGTACGTAAAAACATCGCCACTAGAGAGACAAAAGCGGCCGGGCTTGGTGCTGGGCACCCACCCCCTTTTGTGCAGTGCTGGCCTTCATAAGTGCTCGCTAACAGCACTTGCCCCAACAATCTGTTAAGGTTATATAGGAAATATTTGTCTTTGTGTACCTGTGGAATGCTTTGATGATGTTTGCCAGCCGAAACCCCCTTTAAAAATAACTTTTTAGCTCAATGGGCTCGATTCATGGAATTTAACTTCTGGTTCTTCTGATAAACCTTGAAGAGCAGCCATCAGGCTTTGTTTAGCTGCCAAGATGCCAGTGCATCGCACCACACTGTGCCTCAACACGCTAGAGGGGCATCCTGGTGTGATGAGCTAAGCCTGGACCACTTGGGGAGGGGAGGGGGATGTCGAAAGACGGATGGAGGACGCGTGTAAAATAGCCGTGCAGGTGAATATGGAACAACGCAGGTGAAATAGGTGGTGGGTGCAGCTGTGAATGGTCGGAATGGGAATCTCCAATCTCGGACAAGGTGAGAGTGATAGACGGTGACATCACCAGCAGTGGGTGATGGAGGCAGGTAGAGTTGGTGATAGATTCACACTGTAAGCAAAAGGCTCATTAATCCAGGATGGGTCACGGGAGTCGGAAGACAAATTCCATTGTGGATGCCACGATGACATTCCAGCAACTCAGTGCTTTGCGGTAATTACACAGAGATGGAGTTAAAGGACATTATGAGATATCTACAACTACACAAACTCTTTTTAATGTTCCCAGGTAAGGCTCACTGTGCTATGTGGCTCTTTGTCAGAAGCGACCTGGCTATTATAAATGATAGCGTAATGAAGTGGTTGATGTGGAAATTGATTGCGGCCAAATACTCAAAGCGCGTGATGTTGATTCCAAATGTGGAGGGTAAACCGGAGGACCCAGATACAAATTCCCGCGATCAAAAGGAGATCGAGAAAGACGCAAACTTTAAATATAAAGCAGCCATAAGGCGAGTGACATAACATCTCATAGCCACGGTGGCACCCAATCCATTTCTCTGTCTTACCATCGACACCAACTTGTGCGCTGAGCTCTGGAAGGATGAGTTTATCTCTCGATACTCATCTCATGAATGAGCCACCACAGCTGAGCTTCATCGATTTATATTAACAACACTAATTTCTATAAATGTATATATTTGTTAAAATATTAGATTCCTTTGATACATTTTGTTCATGTCAAGGTGTGTACTGTAACCATTTTAACCTTGCAGCTGCTGTTTGCACACCAAGAGCATAGGTTCACATTCCGGGCAGTGTCTCGTGATGTCAGTGACGACAATGAAAATATTCTAAGTATTTTACTTCCTTCTTCACCATCGCTATAAGAGAGAGGTCCTGGTTCAGCGTCTCTCTCTTCGCCACACAGCGAGTAAATCTCAATGAAGTCAAGAGTCACGGCGAGTGTGACTCCCAGTGAGAGTGTGGACAGTGAGCTGCACTGCTCCCTCTGCCTGGGCACGTTTGTCTGCCCCTCCACGCTGAGCTGCGGACACTCATTCTGCCTCCGGTGCCTGGAGGCCACCTGGGAGACGGCGAGCAGCTTCAGCTGCCCGCAGTGCCAAGCGACCTTCCCTGTGCCACCCCAGCTGAGGAGGAACGTGGCCCTCGCCAACCTGGCAGAGCAGCTCAGAGTTGGAGACGGGATGGCCGCAACTGTCATGTGTGACAACTGCCCTGACGGCCAGACTCCTGCAGTGAGGACCTGCCTGAGATGTGAGATGTCCTACTGTGCAAGGCACTTGAGGCCTCACTTGGAGAATCGAAGGTTGAGAGACCACGTCATGGTGGCTCCCATCACGAACCTGGAGGACCGATGGTGCCGGAAGCACAGCATGGAGCTAAAATTATACTGCACAGTAGACAGCAGCCTGGTCTGCTCAACTTGCAAATTTGCAGGTGAACACAAAGAACACAAGGTCCTGACGCTGAAGAAGGAGCACGAGACACGTAAGGTGAGGCCCACAGAGTGAGACACCGTAACACGCTCTGACCAATTCTGTCACTCGGCTACACAACATCTGAAGAAAAAAACAATTGTGTGTTCATGTTCTCATTTTTTGAATCCCTGTCTGTCTGCCTGTATAGCTCATCTCCTGGTTGGCATTTTAGGAAACTGCCTTAGGATGTATTGCATGCCAGGTTCTCAGTAAACCAAAATTCCGTATAAAGGAATTAAGTGACACCGATATCACAGCCACCTGATAGACAATTCTAGTTGAGTTATCTTCTAAACCAGACAGCTGTGGGCACATGGGCCCTTGGGTCCGAGTCGGTACAAACACCAAGCCAGCACGGCTCCCACTGCCTGCTGCTTCAACGAGGCATCAGCTTGCGCACTCCCCGTGCCCCCCCTCTCAGTCGCCATACAAAGGCAGCGTGGAGATGAGGGCCTTCACTGTGGAGGGGTCGGTGTGGAGGGAAGGGCGGTATGAAGAGTGGCTCAGGGGGCTCAAGTGTCCCCCAGGTGACGTCTCGTCTCTCACTACAGACGCGGGTTGGGGAGGAGACGCGAGCGGTAGAGGAGAAGAGAAAGGAGGCGGAGGAGACCGTGAAGCGGATGGAGTCTGCTCGCAATGAGGCGCAGGTACCGTGTCCGGGCCGGGCTCTTTGACCCCCGTGACCTCCACCCAGTGTGGAAGGCGTGGAGGTCAAAATGCATTCAAGCGAATTTAGTGCAGCATTATAACTTTGATAATGGAAGGACCAATACTTCTGCCATGGCTGATCATTATTTTTACGCGCCTAACTCACGCGAAAATGATTTCTGTAAGACGATGGTACTTTGCAAGGATGGGTACAAACTCAGCAATCATTGGAAAGATGTCATCAACCACTTTGGGTCATAGCTTGATTTGTGTTTTCTTGTCACCTTACCCCGGGAACATATGCCCCGCCCACTTCATTCTGACACCAGCACGCTTGTGCCACGCCCAATTTTCAAACATTAAAAAACTTTGCCTTCGTTGACCTTTCTCCTTTTTCCTCTTGAAGATGATCGCTTGTGTTGTGATCGAAACGTCGTGTTTTTTATATTTATTTACTTTATTATAATTTTTTCTATCTACTTGGCTTTACCGAAATAACCACGGAATATGAATTCCTGCAGTCACGAAAGTTTTAAGTCAAAATATAACTTTGATGCATCTTACTATAACTATATCATTAACTTTCAAACTCAACATTAACTACGAGGGGGTTGCATGCTTACCATATATGATAGCCACATCGGCGAGTCTGCCGTGAGGTCGGGTTACTCGGCATTGCATTTTCCATTCCTGTGGCAAAACATTTTTAGAGAGTACCACCGGATTGTCAGGGTGGAGCTGTGGTGCAGCTGTTGCACTGCACGGGAGGTCGCGCACCGGCACGGACGCAGAGGCACGAACACCGCACAGCTGCACCTCACGCCGTCCCTAATCGCGTCACCAGAGTTTATTTAAACTACAACTGTTTTTATTTTACCAGGTAAGATCCCACTGAGCTGTGTAGATTTTTATCGGAAGCGACCCTGGCTGTCACAAATGATAGTAGCTGAACAAAGTGGCTGACATCATTATCACGTATAAATATATAGCAGCAGACCCATAGAGATACATAGAGACCCATAGAGACACTTGGGGACAAAGAGAGGTACAAAGAGACCCATAGACTAAACTATTTTTTTTTTACCAGGTAAGGCCCACGGAGCTGTGTAGCTATTTTTCAGAAATGACATGGTCACCACAAATTATAGCGACATCAAGTGTTTGACATCATTATCACGTGGAAATGTATAGCAGCAGCCAAATATACATAAAGACCCATATCAGTACTTACACCCATAGAGATACCAAACCCATAGAAATACCTGGACACCCATAGAGATACATAGGTAGACATAGAGTTACAGAGATACACTGAGAGAGACCTACAGACCCATAGAGACACGTAGAGTTACGTGAAGACCAATAGACTAAACTAATTTTTATTTAACTAGGAACGGCTCCACTGAGCTATGTAGTTCTTTGTCAGAGGCGACCTGGCTATTACAAACGATAGCTAAAAAAAGTGGCTGATTGTAATGTGGAAATTGATAGTAGCCAAATACTATAAACGTGCGACGTTGATCCTAAATGTGGAAGCAAAAACCGGAGGTCCCGGAGAAAAATATATACTACAGAGAGAACAAACTCCAAATATACAGGCATCAGGGTCGGGATCGAAACCACGACCTGCTGCATACCAAGCGAGGGATTCAACATCTCCTAGCCACCACGGCGCCCACACGCACACACGGAGTGGCTCATGGCTCAGGGAGCCAACGTCCCCGCGTCTCCGCAGAAATCGGTGGCTGGGATCAGGGGTCGCATCACGGGCAGGTTCGCCCGCCTAAGGAAGGCTTTGGACGAGGACGAGAGGGAGGCTCTACGTCGCGTGGCTGTGAAGGAGCGCGAGCTGCTGTCCCGGATCGAGGAGGACATCGCTCGTCACAAGCGGGAGATCGGCGAGCTCCTGGCGGCAGCCGCTCGCCTGCGCGCTCTGCAGCACGAGAGGGACTCGCTCGCCTTCCTGCAGGTGGGGAGCGCCTCTGTGGAGACGCCGTTTGGGGGTCCAGAACAGGGCGGGCATTGGCAGAGGGACTCGTGGTCCAAGGGTAGAGACTTCACTTTAATGATCTCTCTCTTTCACAGGGGCACCTGGAGGAGACGCGCAGGTACAGATCATTAACGTCCATGGTTAAACACTCAACACGGGGCTTTGTGTGTTAGACACACGTGCTGTGTGTGAGACACGGGCAGTGTGTGAGACACTGGCTGTGTGTAAGCCACGGACTGTGTGTCAGACACGGGCTGTGTGAGACACTGGCTGTGTGTAAGACACTGGCTGTGTGTGAGACACGGGCTGTGTGTGAGAAACTGTCTGTGTGACACACGGGCTGTGTGAGACACGGGCTCTGTGTTAGACACGAACTGTGTGAGACACGGGCTGTGTGTGAGACACTGGCTGCATGAGAAACGGGCTGTGTGGGACGCGGGCTGTGTGTGAGACACGGGCTGTGTGAGACACGGGCTGTGTGTGAGACAAGGGCTGTGTGTGAGACACGGGCTGTGTTTGAGACATGGTCTGTGTGTGAGACACTGGCTGTGTGTGAGAAACTGGCCATCTGTGAGACACGGGCTGTGTGTGAGACACTGGCTGTATGAGACATGGGCTGTTTGTGAGAAACTGGCTGCTTGTGAGACACGGGCTGTGTGAGACACGGGCTGTGTGTGAGACAAGGGCTCTGTGTAAGACAAGGGCTGTGTGTGAGACACGGGCTGTGTGTGAGACACGGGCTGTTTGTGAGACACTGGCTGCTTGTGAAACACGGGCTGTGTGAGACAGGGGCTGTGTGTGAGACACTGACTGTGTGTGAGACCAGGGCTGTGTGAGACACTGACTGTGCGTAAGAAACTGGCTGCGTAAGAAACTGGCTGCGTGTGAGACACGGGCTGTGTGTGCTATGGATGCTGAGTCCTCCAATGCTGTGGTTAAACGAGGCTGTGTGTGATGCTGTTAGTGGTTATCCCAGGAGAGAGATCCCTAAGGAATCTGCACCCCCACCTCCCACTTCACTGGACGTCACCACGATGCGCTCCCTTGAAAGGGCCATGCGCAGACTCCTGCCTCTCATCTGTGAGTTCCTCAGTCTTGCACCCACGTGTCCCACTGTGTTGCACTACGCTTCTTATTTTTTACCAGGTAAGGAACCCACTGAACCATGTCGCTCTTTTTTCAGAAGCTACCTGACTATCACAAATGACAGCTTTACGAAGTGGCTCATCACGTGGATATTTATAGCAGCAGCCAAATCCTCTGAATGCGAATGTATTCTATATGTAGAGGGAAAAACGTGAGGAACCAGGGAAAATCCACGCCACCACGGGGAGAGAGACGCAGACTCTGAAAGAGAGCGACATGGATAAGTGGGCTCTTCCTGGTGAAATAAAATTCGTTTCACAGTTTTAATATTCTACTGAACCCTACTGCTGGGTAATGGGGCATGTGCTGTTAGCGACCAGCAGCACCTATGAAGGCTGGCACGGCACACGAGGGGTGGGTGGCTAGCACCATGCCCGGCCGCCTTTGTCTCTCTCGTGTCGAATGTTTACACATCGCACCAGCAGAGGACAGTGCAGCGTGAACCATTGTTGTACTGTACCTCTATGCTTCTACGTTAACAATACCCACCATCCCTAACGCGTATTGACAAGCGCGGTAAAGTATGGTCAAATAACCCCCCCTCCGGGACGTGCACGGCGTGGGGAGGCGCTCATCCAGAATCGGAGTGACCCACAATGTCTGTGCGTGGATGTGATAGTGTGCGAGGCTGTGGTGGCCATTGTACAGGCTTCGTGTTTGTAGAGAGACTCTGTGAGAGTGGCGTTCACATCGTGGTGCTAGCATCATCACGACTGTTCACTACGATTGCACACACACCTATCGTCATATTAGTGTAGTACTATTGTTATTATTTATTATTATAATTCCCTAATTATTATTCAATGAGTATTATTCACGACTGATTAGCAGTGCGTGTACATAGATAATACCGAATATTTGTATGTGTATACAAATACGAATGAATATTAATGTTTACACGATACTAACGAATAATAGTATATGCACTAATATTAACAAATATGTATTATGTGTACGCAGAATTTAACGAATATTAGTATTAATTCTAGATTTGAAGCTTTCGTGACTGCAAGGATTCATATTCTTAGGTTTTATCGGTAAAGTCACGTAGGTAAAACATTAAAATTAATAAAAGTAAAATAAAATAAAAATCACGACGTTTCGGAGGCAACACAAGCTTCCGTCTTCAGGTGGAACCGTCACAGCCACGACAGCTGTATCAAGTAAATGAGAGATTGCAGGAGCTACCACTCCGTTCATATAATGGTTGGAGAGGGGGGGGGGGGAAAGGGCCAAGTAAAGCACACTTTTTATTCATATGGTAAGGTGAGGCTTAGGACTAAGAATAGACTGCATACCTCTCCATAACAAAGGCTGAGCCTTTGTTATGGAGAGGTACGGTTTATGACTCAACCTGTGACAAGGAGACAACCACTAAACATGGTAAACCTGTAATAGTCTGTCAAATAAGATTGGCCAACTAAGTGTAGTTAAATATTTTTTGCATGGTTAATCACATCTTTCCAATGATTACTCAGTTTGTAACCATCATCACGGTTGAAATTATGTCTGTGTTTGTATATTTGTATGGCTTCGTGTACAAACATTTGATGGTAGCCAGGAGGTTTGCAGAGAACCTTGGTCTCGGAAAAGACAATTTCATGAGAGCCCACCGAGTTGTAGCAATGATCGGCAACGGCCGAAGAATCAGTTCTGCCGTGTTTCAGATCTGACTTGTGCTCGCGGACACGATCAGAAACATGACGTTTCGTTTCTCCAATGTAGCAATCACCACAAATGCAACTCAATTTGTAGACTCCAGGATACTGTAAGTCAGGAACGACATCCTTCACAGATGGAATCAGATCACGGATTTCATGCACTGTACTGAATCGGACTTGGATCATATGTTCGTTTAGAATTTTGGAGATCTTTTTGGTCACGCCTGCTATGTATGGTAACGTGATAGTTTTGGTCGGAGATTCCTACTTTAAACCGGATTCCCACCACCACCCATCTCAAAAGAATTCTCTCATCAAAACGCTATACCACAGAGCCCATGCATTTCTGACCAACACCACCTGGCTGGTGAATTAAGACATGTACATCGGGCCCTCAGGATGAACGGATACTCTGACCGCACTATCCGCCAAGCTGTTTCTCCCACCACACAGAAACAGCCACATGAAACTCCGACCAAAACTATCACGTTACCATACATAGCAGGCGTGACCAAAAAGATCTCCAAAATTCTAAACAAACATAAGATCCAAGTCCGATTCAGTACAGTGCATAAAATCCGTGATCTCATTCCATCTGTGAAGGATGTCGTTCCTGACTTACAGTATCCTGGAGTCTACAAATTGAGTTGCATTTGTGGTGATTGCTACATTGGAGAAACGAAACGTCATGTTTCTGATCGTGTCCGCGAGCACAAGTCAGATCTGAAACACGGCAGAACTGATTCTTCGGCCGTTGCCGATCATTGCTACAACTCGGTGGGCTCTCATGAAATTGTCTTTTCCGAGACCAAGGTTCTCTGCAAACCTCCTGGCTACCATCAAAGGTTTGTACACGAAGCCATACAAATATACAAACACAGACATAATTTCAACCGTGATGATGGTTACAAACTGAGTAATCATTGGAAAGATGTGATTAACCATGCAAAAAAGATTTAACTACACTTAGTTGGTCAATCTTATTTGACAGACTATTACAGGTTTACCATGTTTAGTGGTTGTCTCCTTGTCACAGGTTGAGTCACAAACCGTACCTCTCCATAACAAAGGCTCAGCCTTTGTTATGCAGTCTATTCTTAGTCTTAAGCCTCACCTTACCATATGAATAAAAAGTGTGCTTTACTTGGCCCTTTCCCCCCCCTCTCCAACCATTATATAAACGGAGTGGTAGCTCCTGCAATCTCTCATTTACTTGATACAGCTGTCGTGGCTGTGACGGTTCCACCTGAAGACGGAAGCTTGTGTTGCCTCCGAAACGTCGTGATTTTTATTTTATTTTACTTTTATTAATTTTAATGTTTTACCTACGTGACTTTACCGAAAACAACCTAAGAATATGAATATTAGTATGTGTTAAGATACTAACGAATAATAGTAACTGTACACAGATACTCACGAATACTAGAATGTGTACACTAATACTAACGAATATTATTATAAATCTTGACTTAAAGCTTTCGTGACTGCAGGAATTCATACTTTTTGGGTATTTCGGTAAAGTCACATAGATAGAAAAATAAGAACATAATAAAAATCACAACGTTTCGATCGCAACACAAGCAATCATACTCAGATGAAAAAATACAGCAGGCGGACTGCTGAGGCAGGAAAAAATATAGCGAGAGAGCTGCTGCAGCAAGAGGTTATATAGGTCTGAGATGGGTACAACCAAAGGGTAAGTGGGCAGGGCTAGAGATGGAATTTGCAAGTAAATGTAATATCGCAGAGCTAGGTATACCTCGGCCATTGTATTGCTAGAGATTAGCATGTGAATCTGTTAATGTAACCCCACGGCTACGGTGCTGAAGAAACCATTGTATTGCTCGAGATTTGAGGTTAGCATGTCAATGCGAGACGGCTCCCGCAGCAGCGGCTGTGTTAATGAGAGATATTCAGCCTATTAAAACAACGAGCGCCACCGCCGCATCGAGGAAAAGGGAGTAGAAGCTAAATTAGTGAGACATTTAGCCTGTTAATGTAAAGACATTTAACAAGGTAATGTAACTCAGAGAGTCGAATAACTGCTACTATAGGAAGGTTGGATTGAAGCATCACAGCCAGTTATGACTTTACCTGGTTAATAACGTCCTTCCAATGATTGCTCAGTTTGTACCCATCTTCTCAGTTGAATTTGTGTCTGTGTTTATATATCTGGATGGCTTCATGAACACATCTTTGTTGAAAGCCATTGGGTTTGCATAGTACCTTCGTCTTGGAGAAATCAATTGTATGTGTGCCTACAACGTTGAAATAATGATCAGCCACGGCAGAGGTGTTGGTCCTACCGTATTTCAGATCCGCCTCGTGTTCCCGAACACGGTCTGAGACATGTCGCTTAGTTTCTGCATTGGCATTCTTTTTCCTTGACATTGTTGCTGTATTGACACTCGTGGACCGCCCATGCTCCTGGTGCTGCTGATAGCTGCATTGATATTGTTGTTGCATTGGCACTCGTGAACCGCCCATACTCCTGGTGCTGTTGATACACTTGGGCTACGCCCATCCCCAAACCTTTATAAACAGCTGGCCTTTAGAGGCTGACTTCTTTGCCTGATGATGACCGCTTGGGTTGCAATCGAAACTTTGTGATATTTTTATTCACTTAATTTTTATTATTATTATTTTTATGCACGTGACTTTACCAAAAGAACGATAGAATATGAACTCCTGCAGTCACGAAAGTTAAGTCAAAATTAATGTGTACAAAAATACAAGCGAATATTAGTATGTGTACACAAATACTAACGAATATAAGTATGTGTACACAAATACTAACGAATATTAGTATGTGTACACTAATATCAACGAATATTAGAAAGTGTACACTAATACTAATGAATATTAGTATGTGTACACTAATACTAATGAATATTAGTATGTGTACCCTACCAACGAATATTAGTATGTGTACACAAATACGAATGAATATTCGTATGTGTGCAATGATACTAACAAATATTAGTATGTGTACACTAATATCAACGAATATTAGAAAGTGTACACTAATACTAACGAATATTAGTATGTGTACACTAATACAATGAATATTAGTATGTGTACCCTACTAACGAATATTAGTATGTGTACGCAAATACGAACGAATATTCGTATGTGTGCAATAATACTAACAAATATTAGTATGTGTACACAGATATTAACGAATATTAATATGTGTACACTAATACTAATGAATATTAGTAGGTGTACACTAATACTAACGAATATTACTGTGAACACAAATATGAACGAATATAAGTATGTGTACACAAATACTAACGAATATTAGTATTTGTATACAGATACTAATGAATATTAGTAATGTATGCATTTGTCATATGCGTGATGATCACAGTGTTAAATATCAACGTATCACGTACTGCGCTATGACCACAACAACACAACAGACAACACAACACCAGCGTGTGTGTGTGTACACGCCACGTGCGTGTGTGTGTGCACGCCACGTGTGTGTGAACACGCCACGCCACGTGTGTGTGTGTACACGCCACGTGCGTGTGTGTGTACACGCCACGTGCGTGTGTGTGTACACGCCACGTGTGTGTGAACACGCCACGCCACGTGTGTACACGCCACGTGTGTGTGTACACGCCACGTGCGTGTGTGTACACGCCACGTGTTTGTGTACACGCCATGTGCGTGTGTGTGCACGCCACGTGCGTGTGTGTGTGCACGCCACGTGCGTGTGTGTGCACGCCACGTGCATGTGTGTGTACACGCCACGTGTGTGTGAACACGTCACGCCACGTGTGTGTGTGTGTACACGCCACGTGTGTGTGTGTGTACACGCGTCGCCGTGACCGCTGTGCGGGCATCATCGCTGTCCTCACCACAGATGGACGCTCACCGACTCTGGACACAAACTCAGCCCATGACATCCTCCAGATTTCCTCGGATCTCAGGACGGTGACGTGGAGCGGTGTCCCCCAGCGTCGCCCCCATCACCCACGCCGATTTGATGTCTATCACCAAGCCCTGTTCTCTGAGAGCTACTCATCAGGTCAGCACTACTGGGAGGTGGAAGTGGGGAGTGCGAGGTGGTTTCGGGTTGGAGCCGCGTACTGGACGATCCCACGGAGAGGGCGTGGTGATGAGTGCCTCCTGGGAGAGAGTGGACGTCTCCTGGTGTCTATTGAAACTTGGCGACAGCTTCTCAGTGCGGCATGGCGGGGTAGTGACCTCACTGTCGGTACCGGAGCCTACGCGGAGAGTCGGGGTTCATCTGGACTGGGACGCGGGGCTGCTGTCATTTTACAGCGCCGACTCCATGGTGCTGTTGCACTCGTTTCACCAAACCTTTACTCAGCCCCTATATCCTGGGCTGCTGGTGGGGTGGGGTGATGATGATAACTCAGTGAGGATTGTGGATCTGAGTGGTGCGTCCTGAGAGAGGTGAACGTGAACAGGGCAAAGGGCAGACAACACCACGACGCACGGCGCTCGCCACCCTCGTCACCGTCACGTGCAGTGCCACGCCCGTGACTGGCTGGTGGCTGTCGGTAGCTAGGGGCTGCGTGGCTCTCCATCACAAAGGGGGGGCTGAGCGTAAACAATCCTCACAACCTTCCTAGGGGGGGAGTAGGGGGTGAAAAAATAGGTACTGCTCTGTGTGTGTGAAGGCAACGTGGATGTATTCACCCTGCCAGAGTGTGTGACTGTAGTGTCGGGGCGCAGTGATTAGCAATGGTTAACTGGGATGTGTTCATACACCGGTGGTGTCATGGGTTGTGGGAGAGATACAACAACAATATTGATTTTAAAAAGTATAAATGTACGCGTACAACAGTGGCATTGTAACGCTTGTATCGTCGATTCTACAATAAAAATACAGAACAACAACAACAATGTATTTTTCGATTTAAAGCTTTCGTGACTGCAGGGATTCATCTTCTTGGTTCTTTCGGTAAAGTCACGTAGAAGGGAAGTAATAAAATAATAATAAGTATAACCCGTAAAAACAAAGTTTTTCACTCTAAATCCGTTATATGCGTGGCGGCTAGAGTCCTCTCGTCCTCTGGCTTGAGATGGCTGCCACCTATGGGTCAGATGATTGTCTGCAGTATTAAACAATTGGTAATTAAATATTTAATTTGTTTTCCCTAAACAGTGTAAAATTATGGAAAAAAAATTTTCACGAACATTAATTGTCTCGCACAACGAGTCTGTGTGCAAAATGTCAGCTCGATTGGATCACGGGAAGTGGGTTAAAAAACGACCGAAAGGTTTGCACGGTCGTAAGCAAGCAAGCAAGCACGCAAGCAAGCAAGCAAGCACGCAAGCAAGCAAGCGAACTTAATATAAAGGATTTAAAAATAAAACATAATTCTCACGACGTTTCGGCCACAACCTAAGCAGCCGTCCTCGCCTGTGCCTTTACCGAAAGAACCAAGTAAAAGGAAGAACAACAATGTAGTTGTGTGCACCGTCATTCGAGCTCACTGCATCCCGCAACGCTGTTCATTAATTAAACACGAGGACCAAATCCTCTAAACAGCCATTGCCAAGCAAATTAAATCTACAAATTAATAAACAAATAAAGAGATGGCGACAAACACAAATGGCGCCAACAATGTCTGAGCTGTTCAAGTTATCTGCTGCGTCGTTCCCCCAATGCGGTGATGTCACCACGCACGATGCCACAACGCGGTGACGTCACCACGTCACCTCTCCCCCACCCCCGCCCCTCACCACTGCACCATCTGTGAACACAAAGAGCTTCAAAGCTCATCGGATTCCTCCTGCACTACAAACACAGATTCTGATATTCTGGATTCCCGCCACTGGGGGAGTCCCGCGTTGGCGACAACAAAAACAAACAGAAGCACTGAGGGGCAACCTGCAGCCTTGCTGTAACGTCACCACGTCACCGCTTTGGCGACAACAAAAATATACAGAGGCACTGAGGGGCAACCTACATCCTCGCTGCTGTGACCCAGCACTGTTGGGGGGGGGGTTGGTGGATCACCACTGACGCTGCTGTGAACTCCCTGAGAGGGCGAGTCGACGAGGCGCCACGTGGCCCTTGTGCTCGCCAGGAGAAGGCGGTAGAGCAGTAACAACAACAACCACCACCACAACCATTACTACCACCATCACAACACTCACTACAAACACCACCACAACAACCATCACCACAACCACCACAACCACCAGAACAACCAACACCACAACCACCACCATAGCAACCACCACAACAATCACCACCAGAACACAACAACCACCACCACAACAACCACCACCAATGCAACCACCATCACAACCACCACAACCACCACCACGTGTAAACTTCTCCCAGTGACAGGGACTGGGAACTAAAAAAAAAAATCGTCTCCAACAATTACTTATATATTAATATATACATATTTATTGTATATTTATTTATATTTCTAGATCGAAATATATTTATTTACAGTACTTTTTAAAAATATTTGTATTTATACAGATTTATTTGTTAATATTTATATAAATATACGCATATATATATAAATAAATATAAAACTATTACATGAATATGTAACAAATTATCAGCATATTTATATATTTACTAGCGGGAAGTAACCGCCATTGCTCGGGCAATTTTTTTTTTTCTTCAAATCTTCTCTTAAAAACCTTACATATACATACTCTTAGGTTTTTTCGGTGAAGTCACGTCGGTTACAAATTATAATAAAATAAAATAATAATAAATGAAAATAACTAAATTTAATCACGACGTTTCGGAGGCAACACAAGTCTCCGTCTTCAGATGGGACCGTCACAGCCAAATTTACTGTATCAAGTGAAGAGAAATCTAAGAGACAATATCTTATATACTGGTTAAGGGGAGGGGGGAGGAGCGTATCTAAATGTGGCAGTCAGAGACTTGGAGGGCAGGTGGGCGGGGCTAGAAGGGAAGGTACAGGTTAAGCACCTCCGCAAGAATTAACGGCCGATGTTGGCTTCCAAAACCAAAAAATAGCAGCACTGTTAAACGCTGGGGATGTCAACAACTCAGTAAAAGAGACTAGTACCTGGCAAATAAGATGGTACAAATATGCGTAGTACGCAAGGCCCTCAAGATAAATGGGTACTCGGACCGTTTTATTCGCAAAGCTATGTCTCCAATCATGGAGAAACAATCCCCTGAGACGCCAATCAAAACCATCACGTTACCATACATAGCAGGCGTCACAAAAAAGATCTCCAAAATCCTGATTAAACACAAGATCCAGGTCCGATTCAACACAGTACATAAAATCCGTGATCTGGTCCCATCTGTAAAAGATGTGGTTCCAGACATACAGTACCTTGGCGTCTACAAACTAAGTTGCCTCTGTGGTTAGCAGTTACATTGGAGAAACCAAACGACATGTCTCGGACCGCATCGGTGAACATAAAGCAGACCTGAAACAGGTAGGACAAAAACCTCACCCGTGGCAGATCACTGTTACAATTCTGTGGGCTCACATGACATTGACTTCTCCAAGACAGAGGTTCTCTGCAAGCCATCTGGCTACCATGAGAGATTCGTTCATGAGGCGATCCACATATACAAATGTAGTGGTGATAACTACTCGCGGTTCGCAAGCTGTGAGAGAGCAGTTGGTAAACAAGGTTTCCCCGCTCAATCAAACAGTTAGGGTCAAATGGGGTGAGGTAGGATCCAAACGCCAGATTGGGAAGAACCAATCGGAGGGGTCCAACAGGTGGCCGGGGATTGGTTAACCCGGCCACGAACAGGTATAAAAGCTGGAGCGCTGAGAGCTCTTGGTTAGTTCTGCTACACGAAGACCCAAGTCGGCCGGAGCCAGCTCGGACCCTGGACCAAGCCTTCCAGCCCTTATCAGGGCTGGGGCTCAGTGTAACCAGTGGTCAGGGGAGATAGGTCCTGGATAGGACCCTGGCGCTCAGCCTTCCCGCCCTTGTGAGGGCGAAGGTCTCGAGTGACCAGAGGTCGGGGACCGGCCAGGCCAGCGGCGGGTCAGTGTGCCTCCCCTAGGTCCCAGCCGGAGGACGCTAGGCTAGCGGGGAAGATAGCCGGCAAGTCCGGAGTCTGTAGCTCCTCAGGATAGCGGGTACAGGGACCGTATACCGAGAAGATGGTTTCTGGCTCAGCAATCATTGGAAGGACGTAATAAACGAATTCGGATCTTAACTGATTGTGTTCACGTTTACGGTGACTTTCAGACCACAGTCCACTCACTGGCATTGACTATATATCTTTTATTCTCCGCAGGGAATGGATTCTTTGCTCCGCTGCAAGTCTCCTATCACCACTCTCCCATTGACATATTTCGTTGCCTCCTCTTAGTACCTTTCACGCGACGGTCAATGGCATAGTGTATAGCAGATAGTATAATAATAATAAATAGCATAAAAGTGTAATGTTTAATATAATGTATAAGGTAATATATAGTATCGTAATTGTATAGTGAATATACAGCAGTGTGGTATACAGTAGGGCGGGTAGAATAATACATAGTGTAATATTACAATGTATATTCTAAGGTATAGGGTGGTGTATAGTAATGCAGTATATAATTTAATGTTGGGTTTGTCTATGGCAGTATATAGTACGGGGTAGACCCGTGTAATGTAAGAGAAAAAAGTTTAGTTGGAGGCATATTATATTTTTTGCGACATAGAATTGTAATGTATGACTTACTGTTAGTAGCTCAGCTAATTGGAGAGTATATTTAGTATATTGATGATACTGATGTAGTTTATATTTTAGTTTTTTACGTGGTGGTTTAGCTGCTGCAGCTCCTTACTATTAAAATTCCTTCCCTTTATTACTGCTAACCCTACTCCCTCCCTTTGATGCTGATAATCCTGCATAATGCAGGGGCATAATATGACTTTGAACCCCCCCCCCCCACCTCCTACGCATTCCACAAGTAGTGACTAATCCCATATCTGCATTTCCCATAAATATGCTAATTTCCTCTTGATATGCAAATTACTTTGTCAAGGCGCCATTCCCCCTCCAACCCAGCTTAAATATACGCTGCCAAGCATGGTGGTGCTCATTCAGACACTGTCTTTCCGACAGACCTGTTCTTCACCTGAGGACGGCTGCTTGCGTTGTGGCCGAAACGTCGTGAGAATTGTATTTTATTATGTTTTATTTTTATTATTTTATTATTTCCCTTCTACGTGACTTTACCGAAAGAACCAAGAAGATGAATCCCTGCAGTCACGAAAGCTTTAAATCGAAATGATAAGGACATCATAGTCTGCCAACACACTCACCCAGATAAAAAACCAGACAGCAGTCCACATTGATGGCCTTGAATTATTACTTACCTTTTATTACTCTCATTCACCTCACATTGTTTCTTATTGCATCTTGCTATCTATGTGACTCTACCAATAGAACCAAGGAATATGAATTCCAGCAGTCAAGAAAGCTTAAGTGAAAACTTAGTTACATCTCCAACCTCAGGATATCAAAATATAACTCCAGTATAAACAGCACGGATCCCTGTATACAGACGGGGAACAAAGGTTAATAAAAACCTAGCAATATACGTGGTAATAACGATGATAAATCACAAATCTTGGAAAACATAAACCAAATAATAATTATGAAGTATAAGACCGAGGGTCATCCAGAAGAGATACAAGGCGAAATAGGTCAATCAGACATGACCAAGATAAAATGTATCCCATAGAGAGAGCCTCCCAACCGCCTTTGTCTCCCAGCAGCAC